CATTAGACAGAGAGCAACCAACCGCTTGGACGGGAGGCCGTTACCATCAGGAGAGGAGGCGCGGTCCGGAGCGCTGGGAGCTCGGGGGAGACCGTCGCAGGACAGGAGAGGAAGTGCTGCCTTGGGTTGGTGGTGAACCTCCCAACTTTGTTCCCCAGTGCCGGCGATTAGGGGGCAGCCCACCACGGGTGGATTTACCATCTTTTGATGGAGAAGGGTGGCCGGTATGGGAGAGACGGGCGGAGCGTTACTTCCGGGTCCATATGATCCGACCCGATGCTAGGGTCTATGTGGTGGCAGATTACCTCATAGGTAGAGCATGGGAGTATTACGAGTGGGTCATGGAGGAGGAACCGGGCATGGACTGGGAGGAGCTAAAACTCTCCTTCGGGCAGCGTTTTGGGCCTAAAGAATTCAGATCTGTTCAGGAGCAATTGGTGGGCGTGAGACAGTTGGGCTCGTTGGCGGAATATGGGGAACAATTTCAGGAATTGTCAGCCCGTATCCGAGGAATGGACCGAGCGACTACCTTAGGAATTTTCTTGAATGGGCTGAGTCAAGATCTGCAGGATGATGTCCGGATGTGGCAGCCTAGGAGTGTACACGAGGCAATCCAACTGGGCCTGTAGCTGGAGCACAAAATGAAGGCCCAGGGAACACGTGGAAGAGTAAACCACGTGTTCCAACCCAGCCCACATCACCAAACAACAGGTCATTTGGCAACTAACAAGTGGGGAACAGCCCTGGTTAGCAACCCGCGTCCCTCATACGAGCAGACCTACAGAGTTGCTGGACCGGGACCGAGAGAGGGCGGCGGTGGCCCAAGTCCGGCACAGCTGGAACGTCAACGGCGGAAGGATAATCAGGAGTGTTTCCGATGCGGAGAGCCGTGGGTGGGCGGCCACCGGTGCAAGACCGGTACGCTCAGGATGCTCAAAACGGCGCCTGAGGAGGAGGACGAGTCTGAGAAGAAGGCGACACCGCCGGAGGAAGGCCGTGGCAGAACCGACTCTTAGGAGGAAGAAGGGTTGCTGCTCCTCCAACCGGACCTTAGGTTGCAGGCCTTAGCGGGAATCAATGGAGGCGACACCTTGAAGTTGTACGGCCACATACATGGAAAAAAGGTAACCATTCTAATCGACAGTGGGGCAAATTCTTCTTTTATCAGTTGGAACAGGGTTAGGGAATTAAAATTGACGGTGCTCCCGATTCCAGAATACGCAGTAAAGGTAGGTGATGGTTACTACGTGACAATTGGGAGCATGTGCCGTGGAGTGTGTGTGGAAGTGTCTGAGTTGGAGTTTGAACTGGACTTATACCCTCTTGAAATTCCGGGAGTGGATGTAGTCTTAGGAGCGGGTTGGCTCAGACAGCTGGGCACCTTTAAAGCGAACTTTAGACAGATGTGGTTAGAGTTCGAACTGGAAGGGAAGGTACATCGACTGATTGGGGTGTCGGCGTTATCCCGCGAGTCTATCTCGGTGGCCGCCGTGGCCAAAATGGCTAGGAAGGGCGAAGAGGGTTATATGATACAGTGGCAAAGTGCTTCTCCCACTGCCGGGAATGGCAAGGCAACGAAGCCTTTTGTGGAGTAGTTGGAAAAGGAGTATGGAACGGTGTTTTCTGGAAAATTGGAATTACCACCATCGAGAACGGGGGATCATGCCATCCTACTACACCCGGGGGCAAAACCCCCAAATATCAGGCCATATCGTTATCCCCACGCACAGACGAATGAGATAGAGCGCTTAATAGCCGACATGACAGTGGCAGGGATTATTCGACCTAGGCAAAGCCCATATTCGAGTCCGGTGCTATTGGTCCGCAAGAAGGACGGAAGTTGGCGGTTTTGTGTGGACTATCGGGAATTTGAACAAGTTGACAGTGCCGGACAAATTTCCAATTCCTCTAATCGAAGAATTGTTGGATGAGCTTCACAGAGCATCTTGCTTTTCCAAGCTCAATTTAAAGAGTGGTTACCACCAAATACGCATGAGGCGGGAAGATGTCGAGAAAACGGCATTTCAGACGCATGAGAGGCACTATGAATTCTTGGTTATGCCTTTTGGGCTCACGAACGCTCCGGCTACCTTTCAAGCAATGATGACCGAGTTGTTCAAACCCCTACTTCAGAAATTTGTTCTAGTTTTTCTGGATGACATATTAATTTACAGCCACAGCCCACAGGAGCATTTTGGCCATCTACGCACCGTTTTGGGGCTGCTGAAGGAAGGGACTTTTGTGCTCAACCTGAAAAAAAAGTATGTTTTTCCAAGAGTCGGTGGAATACTTGGGACATCACATTTCCCAGAAAAGGGTGGCGGCAGATCCGGGAAAAATTCAGGCCATGGTGGAATGGCCTACTCCAACCACAGTAAAAGGGGTGCGAGGGTTCCTTGATTTGACGGGATACTACCGTCGTTTTGTGAAGGATTACGGTGCCATAGCACGGCCCTTGACGGAGTTGTTAAAGAAGGGAGAGTTCACTTGGTCGGAGGAGGCACAGTGGGCATTCCAGGAACTCAAACGGAGGATGACAGAGACCCCAGTCCTTGCTCTACCCGACTTCAATGACACTTTTAAGGTGGAGACGGATGCATCAGGGGCTGGAATAGGGGCAGTCCTACTGCAGCAAGGGCGACCGGTGGCTTATTTTAGCAAGGGGTTGTCGCCTAGAACAATGGCGAAGTCGGTTTACGAGAGGGAACTTATGGCCCTGGTTCTAGCCATCCAGAAATGGAGAGCTTACCTCCTTGGCAGGAAATTTGTGGTACACACGGATCAAAAGTCTCTCCGTTTCCTTTTGGAACAGCGGATTAGTACTCCGGCGCAACAAAAGTGGTTGGTAAAGTTGGTGGGGTTTGAGTTTGACATTCACTACCGTGCCGGAAGAGAGAACGTCGTGGCGGATGCGTTGTCTCGACGGGGTGGATGGGCGCTAGGAAGGGAGCTCTTGGCTATCTCGGGACCCTAATTTCTAGACACGGCGGTCGTAGAGCAAGAGATAGCCGCAGATGCCAAGCTTTGCTCCCTCAAGGAGGAGTTGGGCCGCGGGGAGGCACAAGGCAGCCATTACACAGTGGAGAGTGGGGTGTTGCTGCATCGGGGCCGGATTGTAATTCCAGGGGGATCCCAGCTCAAGCAACAGTTATTGGAGGAATTTCACTCAACTCCAACTGGGGGACACGCCGGTACTCTAAGGACGTACAAGAGAATTAGCGCTAACATGTATTGACCGGGTATCGCAAAGGATGTGCAACGGTTTGTTGCCGAGTGTGGGGTTTGTCAACAACACAAGGTGGAGTCAACGAGTCCGGCCGGGTTACTACAGCCGCTGCCCATTCCCGAGGCAGTGTGGGAGGACATCTCGATAGATTTTATCGAGGCGCTGCCTAAATCCAATGGGCATGAGATCATCTTCGTGGTGGTGGATCGCTTAACCAAATTCGCACATTTCATTGCACTTAAGCGGCCGTTCACTGCGAAGTTGGTGGCAAAGGTGTTTTGCCGGGAAGTGGTGCGCCTTCATGGCATGCCCAGGAGTATAGTGAGTGATCAGGATAAGATCTTCACTAGCCATTTTTGGAGAGAGCTATTCCGTCTCCAACGGACCACCCTATGCATGACCTCGGCATATCACCCCCAAACGGATGGTCAGACCGAGGTGCTTAACCGTTGTTTGGAGGCATATCTGAGATGCTTCACCAGTGGCCAACCTAGGCATTGGAGTAGGTGGCTGTGCTGGGCGGAATATTGGTACAACACCAATTTCCACGGTGCTACTCGCATGACACCATTCCAGGCACTCTATGGTCGGGCTCCCCCTACTTTGGCCCACTACACAAGGGGCAGAACCGCAGTGGGTTCGGTGGATATGCAACTTTCAGAACGAGATGAGCAGCTAAAACAACTACGCTGCAATTTGGAGCGGGCGCAGGAACGCATGAAGCGCTATGCGGATCAACGACGGGTGGAACGGGAGTTTCAGATTGGGGAGCTCCCGTGGCTGAAACTACAACCCTATCGGCAGGGTACCGTGGCCCGGCGCACCAGCAACAAGTTAGCCCCAAAGTATCATGGCCCTTTTGAGGTAATCGGCAAGGTAGGCCCAGTGGCCTATAGACTTCGGCTACCAGAGGGGTCCAGGGTGCATCCGGTTTTTCATGTGTCGATGCTTAAAAAGGTGGTCGGGGGGCGTGCGGTTTCGCAGGAACCAATGGTTGTGGACACTGCAGCAGACATCCCTGAACCTCTGTTTCCAGAGAGTTTGCTACAGGGGCGGCTGAGGAAGCATGGGGGGCAATCGGTGAAGGAAGTGCTGGTTAAGTGGCAGGGACGGTACATCGAGGACGCTACCTGGGAGGCTGTCGCAGAGCTGTAATTCCGTTTCCCTACCTTCGACCTTGAGGACAAGGTCTCTTTTGAGGAGGGGAGTAATGTTACACCCGAGCCTAGGAAGAATAAATATGAACGGATGTATTCTAGAGGAGCTCGCAACGTCTTCGGTTGGGGAAGGGATGTGAGTGCGTGAGGTAGTTGCTGAGCTGGATTATAGGCAGTTAGGCTAGGCTAGGGAATAGTGCCTAGAGAGTAGGGAGGTTACAACGGATTGAGGGGTTCTTAAGGGGGAATCGGTGAGAGAGAGACACGTTGAGAGAATATTGTTTTTACCATTTTTGTATTCTTAGCCGAGCTGAGCTCGTGGTTGTTCTAGGGACGATTAATGAATTGGATCCTTTGGTTGAGGATCCTTCAGTAGTCTATCTGTGGTGTTCTTGTGTTGTTGTGTGTGAATTCGTGTTGCAGGTACTCGGAGCCCAACACACATCTCCAAGCAACACTCTGCATCTTACAATATATCAAGAGAGCTCCAGGACAAAGGTCTTTTCTTTCCTTCTAATTCTACACTTCAGCTTAAGCCTTTGCGGATTCTGATTGGGGGACTTGCCCTGATACACGTCGCTCTCTCACTGGTTTTTGTATTTTCCTTGGATCTTCACTCATTTATTGGCGATCAAAGAAGCAGCAAGTTCTCTCTCGTTCTTCGGCAGAAGCTGAATATCGCTCCATTTCCAACACCACGTGTGAGATTGTCTGGCTCCTCGGTCTTCTTCGTGAACTGCGTGTTCACCATCATGGTCCGGCGTTACTTTATTGTGACAATCAGGCCGCTCTTCATATAGCAGCCAACCCCATCTATCATGAGCGCACCAAACATATCGAGATTGACTGTCATCTCGTGCGAGAAAAGATACAAGATGGGATCATTAAAACAATGCATGTAGCGACACACAATCAACTGGCAGATCCTTTTACCAAGGCCCTACATTCTTCTCAATTTCATCTTCTCTTGAGCAAGATGGGAATTCACAATCTGTATTCTCTATCTTGAGGAGGAGTATTAGAATTTTAGCACATTGTCATATTTTATGTATTTCGAATATTCATGTTTTCTGTTTTTCTGTTATGCCAGCTGTCTTGTGAGGTAAGGATTGTGTGAACCAAATCCAAGGCCTCTCGATATATGTTTTCTCGGTTGTACCTCTTCTTGAGTAATGAAAGATAGTTTCTTATTCTTCTTCATTTCTCTTTCATTCTTCTAATAGGAGGATCTATTAGAACAACTTTGGCTCTCTAGAAAAACTTACAATTAAAGCCAAAAAGATATGACTTCTGAAAAAAGTACTAGCACAATAATGGCTTGTCAAGTGCAAAATATGGTGCGTTTAGAATTGGTTTCAGATTGTTTTTGAAAACGTTTCTGCACGTCTTTTGAGACACGAAAATGAAAACGGTTTGCAAACCGTGTTTGTTAGCAAATGTTTTAAAAACGAAAACGAAAACAAAAAACAGTGGGTGTGTTTGGAATTGGTTCCAAAACGTTTTTATTTTTTGTATGAAAATGAAAACAAAAACGTTTTTATTTTCATTTTGGAATCATTTCTGAAATTGCGTTTGGTAGTTTTATTCAGAGATTGATTTCAGTTTTAAAAAAAACTGAAACTGCGTTTGGTGGTTTAATTTTTAAAAACATGTAATAATATATTAAATAAATATTATTATTAAATATATTAAATAATAATATATTAAATAATTATTATTAATATAT